TCACTTGGGGCGCGCCCGCCTGGCCCCCCGCACCGCCGCACCTCGGCGCTGTGGGGACCAACCCGGCAGCCCCCCGGCTGCTCTACCTCAGGTGTCCCCAAGTCAGCTGCTGCTGAAACTGATCAGCGGCTGATTCCAGGAAGCCTGGGGCAAAGCAGCTCTGCCTCGGGCTTCCTGTAGTCAGCCACTGGTCAGTTTCAGCAGTGGCTGAATCGGGGACACCTGGGGTACAATATGTACCAGTTCCGACTTACATACAAATTCAACTTAAGAACAAACCTACAGTCCCTATCTTGTATGTAACCCAGGGACTGCCTGTATTTTCATGTTCAGGTCACTATCAGTCAGCGAAGGATGGCTCTTCCATCCTTTTGCAATTTGATGAACAGCTTTAGACACAATGGAAAAGTTTACAGTTCATAGGAGAAATAGCACAATGCTTATCTCCATTCCATATCCCTCACCCCCAAACCTCCAGCATGCAATGGTCAATAACAAGTCTCTATTTGCTGGCAAACAGACTGAGTTGCACTGGATAGAGCACTGAAATAGGGTTCAAGAGCTCTGGGTTGTATTCCTGGATTGTTCACTGGATAGCAGGGTGACCTAGTGCAAGTCATATCTCCCCATACCTCAGTTTCCTATGTGACACTTGGATATGTTCTCTGTATCACCAGAAATAACTTAACAATGCAACTTACTTTGTGCAAAAGCTTCCTGCACATCTCCTCCCACGCCTGTCAGAGAGTCCTGAGGTGTATGGGTTGGGGTGGAGCAGGCAGACGCAGACCTGATGGGCATAGGAATAGGCCGGCTGATAGTGTGACTGGGTGAAGAACGAGGGGAGCCTGCCCCTTGAGTCTGGAAAAAAAGAACAATTTGGTTAAATATGTCTTTACAAGAAAAAGCACTCAAGCTGTTATCATCTTCATTCCATTCCTTAGCTTAGTTGAGTGAAACCTCAGCTGATATCATGCAGTTATGCAGAAAAATGGGGGAATATTAAGTCAGTTGACATTACACCCAACTTCTTGTTAGGAAACAGTGAGGGCAACCCACAGTAAAAATGTAGTATGTAAGAAAGAGAGATTAGAAGGGCACCCTGAAAGATGGGAGGCTGGGTTGGATATTAAAATTTAAAGAAAGATTTAAAGACAAGAAATATCAAGATCTGGGCCTCTGTTGGCTATATTCATACATTCTGTGGGAAGCAGAAGGATGCTAGCACTAGAACAGCTTTTAGTCTTGGTAAGGTGTTGAAGCTACTCCTGAGGGTGTAATAATTCTATATTACTGATCAAATTCATGCCCTTATACCTCCACCACTGTTACAAAAAACTACCCATGCAATAAAGTTTTGGAATGTAAATTAAACCTGTAAGTGAAATAAAATTGTACCCTCACAACAAATAGTACAGATTTGTGCTTTTCTCCTTGGTGGGCAAGCTATTTAAGCCACCCCTAAATCATTCACTCTCAAATTACTCATCCCTTAGGACAGGGGTTCTCAAACTTTGTGATACTGTGACCCCCCTATAAGTTGCTTGCAAGCCCGCAGAGGGTCAGGACCCACACGTTGAGAAATGCGGCCATAGGATATACTTAGCTTCTCCCATAGTTCTCTTCAGCTAAGCAATTTAAATTCTTGTTATAGGTCTAGTGGCTGGAAGTTAAAATGTTTTCCCACCAGTCATATAAAATGTCATGCTGTTAGCACCTCAAAGTTAGTATCATTTAAACCAAAAGTCAAGCATATGTTGAAGAATCATAATTTTTAAAAGCAGAGCTGGGTGAGTGATACCAAGGGATTAATGCACTTTTCTTTTACTGCGTGACAGTTCCTGGAAATATATGTCAACATAAGAAAAAGAGCCAAACAAACCAAAATCAAATCTCACAT